GAGAGAGAGAGAGAGAGAGAGAGAGAGAGAGAGAGAGAGAGAGAGAGTGAGAGAGAGAGAGAGAGAGAGAGAGAGACATAAGGTCACACATATGGATAAAATTCATAGACAATTATATAGGAACTTTTTCCCAGGTAAAAAGATAATTACTGCAGAAAATTGATCTAGAATTTAATTAAAATTATTGATCTAATAGAAAATTAGAAATTCTTTTGTTACAGAATTTTGAATAGCTATTTTTGTTATAAAATTCTATCTATACAAAATACTTCCTTTTCGTATATTCCTTTTGCTATAGTACCTCTATCATTCATCTAACATAGAAAGTAATACTAACATGAAAAACATATTTTATATAAAACTTTTCAAACGCTCCACGTTTTGGTTGAAACTTGTACGAATTCGACGAGAATCGACGGCAGGATTAATCAGATTAATCGGATCAATCGTCTCTTCATTTCAATTGATCTTATCTTCGGATTCTCTCTAAAATGGATTACATTGAAGTAGACGGTAGAATGAAATTTCCTCGACGGTTGGGCGTAATAACTCATCTCATGAGTTGCAAGTGTATAAAAGGAAAATGCATGTCTGCCGGAGCGCTGAAGGCTCTTAACAGTTAAAGCAGTCGAAGCCAATACTCGCTACGCTACACCATGCATTCTTTATAGTCATAACCAGACCATGAGTCGCCATCAGATCATGCGATTCACAAAGGGGTTAATGTCTCCTCCTATCACATTACTGTTAAAGATCAAGCCAAGACCTGCATTATCGAGGTGCCTTATTAGTACTCTTTCGCGCTCTCGTTGCGAAAGCGATTATGCTCTTCGAGACGAGAAGGTCGCCGCCAAATCATAGACAATATCATACACATCCTCGTTTCCATAGTTCGCGTTATCGCTGTGGTCATTGAACATTCCGCGGGTACTATTGGAGAAAGAAGCCAACTCATGTTCGTTTTTACAAACTTTGGTTAACTTAATTGGTTGGATTTTCCAATGGAATTGATCAATCACATTTCTTGTTAGTCAGACTTGGTAGATGCTATTGGTCAATTCCGTTGGAACAACCAGCCGATTAAGTTAACCAAAGTTGGTAGAAATGGGCATTAATTCAGTATTTTCCTTGACGCGTACGCGGTAAAGAACCCAGGATGCGTCGGCTAAATCCCATCGTGTTGTGCGCGCTTCTACTGGTGATCGCCTACGCGGCGGAAAATCAGAGCAATTCCACTCATGAAGACAAGCAGCAGGATGACACGATGCACTATGAGTCTCAAGTCAACTTCACCACTACTTTGGACCACGACGAGAATTCCACGAGAGACAACGAGGACTCGGTACAGCATGAGTTTTACAGCAACTACACGAAGAACCTCGATGAGAATGGCAGTCAGAATGTGCCGGCCGAGCTTCGCGACAATTCTACAGAGATTAACGACGGAGGCAACTCTACCACGTCGCAGCTTCGCCCAGGAAGCAATTTGAACGAAAGGAATTCCAACATCTGCAATGTCACATTTTGTATACCAATTTGTTGCGAACCCGGCAATCGTATGATCCAAGTCGGAAACAAGTGGAATTGCACGCCCGATGACAGTAATTATGATTTCCCGGAGGTGCAGGGGACAAGCAAGAAGGCGGACGAGATTTTTCCAATGTTCGTATCAGATCCATGTACCAATGGAATGCGCTACGCGCTCGATGTCTCCTTATATCCCGACGACGAGTACATAATTCTGACCAACGGTTCTTTGTACGAAACGATAAAGGACAACTTGATGGATCCGACAACTTACTGCTACGCCGTCATGAACAAGAGTAAATACGAGCCGACCTTCTGCTTCCATGGACCAAGTTCGCCCGTCGATAACATGGATTTCACCGGTATACCCATCGGTATGATAGTGTCCTTGCCGTTTCTGCTGTTGACCTTCGTGGTGTACACCATATTACCGAACCTCTGGAACACGCATGGCCACATACTTCGCGGATACGTCGGCTCGTTATTCGTCGCATACATATCCCTCGTGCCGTTCCAGCTGTTATCGCCTGCAGATGTGTCGTATGTAGGCTGCATTGGATCGGGTACAGCTTGAACAGACCTTATAATCGGCCGATACAACTGACGTGTATATTCTTTGTGCTCGACTGTATTTTCGCTCTTGCTTCGTCGTATATTACTCTCTGATGACTGAGGAATTAATTAGGGCTTTAGAATAGTACTCTCTAAATTCCTTGGAGTAGGATTTCACTTGAAAAGCGCAGACTGAGCACAGAATCACTCCGATACGAGTGATTTTTCACTGAAACGGAGTGAATTCTCCACTCTGAATTGTCAAGTGGAGTCGAGTGGTATGGAGTATTTTCACTCGAATTCAAGAGTGAGTCTAATGTTATTTCACTGTCACAGAGATGTATTTACTCTGATCGATTGAAATATTTTCTTGTATAGAATCATAATTTACTATAAGCTAGAAAGAAAGAAAACATTCCATGAAAGTAATGGAGTTTCATGAATAATATATGACCATACAAAATTAGACAGATACAAAATGACAGATACAAAATTTGTACATGAGACATACAAGATGTTTTTCAAGTATAAAAAATGCAGGAGGTAATTCTTCACATTAAGATAAGAAAAAAGATTCATATGTTCTAAAATGTTTCATTTCCGAGATACACATCCCGGAAGAGTTGGCTGAAAAAGACTTTTTTGCTAATAAAAAGACAACGGTCTAACGTAAAAACGTTTAATTTTATGTTTAACGTCTAGTATTAATAGTGGGTCATACTTTGAGATGGTTTTCGTCTCCATAAAATAAAGGTTGAAAATTAGGGATGGTTACTCTTATTTTGCATCACTTTTTTTAATTTCCACAGATAGAGCGAATACGGTCTTATTTTCAGAATCCTCTGACATTTGTACACAAAAAAGATATTTTTGTCAAAATTCGCTAGCACGCACTATTATCGAAGAAAATGTGTTTCATCTTTGACAGAATAAAATTGAATAAATAAAGTATTACTTTTTTTTACTTACATAAAAAATAAGAAAATTTGAATTTTTGAATTTTAACGTTGCCTTTTTATTCGTAAAAAAATAATTTTCAGCTACTCCTTTCGAGTAATATTCAAGTAGCAGGACGTCAAATAACGTATCAATGACTGAATATTATTGATGTTAAAAATGACAATAATACATCCCTAAAATGTTATTTGATATTATCATATTTACTGAATATATCATAAAAATAAAGCATTTTAGAACATATGTTTATATGAATGTTTTTTTTTTAATTTTGATGAGAAAAATCATCTCCTGCATTTTTGACATGTACACTAGGATTCATTAATGCCTTTACATTTCCGGTATTTGGAGAATTGGACTTTTTCTATCTGACGCATCGTTTCTCAATAAGCATGAACAGTGACTGTTAGTTAATCGTTAGTTCTTTCAGTAACTAACAATCACGATTCCCGTTTACTGAGAAAAGTTGCGCCAGATCAAAAAAGTCCAATTCTCCAAATCCGGAATGTAAAGGCATTTATGAATCCGAATGTACTTAGGAAACATCTTATATATAATTGTATATAATATATATATATATATATAATTATATACATTTTTTGTTCAGGTATTCAGGTATTCGTTTCAATCGATTGAAACACTCGGTCGTGTGAAGTCACAATCCACTTAAAGTTCGAGTAGAGCACTCACTCTTGCTATTTCGAATGGCAATATTTTTACTATCGTTTTGAATAAAAATACTACCACTTTTTATTCATTTGAAATAATCTTTCATTCCAAGAAATTTAGAGTAGTACGGGAATAAGTAATAGATGAAATTTCAGTTTTGCATGCGTGCCATACAGAAATATGTTAGGTTGGTGCGAAAGGTTTGTCGTGTTTGTCAAAGGAAATAGAACACAAAATGATCCAATTTCGAGGAATTAATAAGGGGTACAAATAAAATGGATAATATCGACTCGGTATTCTTTCAGACATCTAACGAGGACTTTCTTATTTTCCTCCTAATACTCAAATTTTCCCGGAGAATTTAATAGGAAAACGACAAATCTTTTGACACTAATGCATCAATATAGATTCTTCTTTTTCTTATCGTAACTTTGCAATATACATGTATCTCTAATAAAAGATTTCTTTTCATTTGATGTAAGCACGCACTTGTTACATATTTATCGCGACCTTTTCCCACGAGTTTCCGATACAGAGGAAAAATATACAGTGTAGTTTTCACGGTCGAATAATAACTGCAAGGCTTTCTTGCACTTGTATAATGTAGCTTGATTTTGAGACGCTATTTATTTGCCTGTTTCAGCCTTCGTTATTTACTTCTCGTTCCAGGCGAGCTACTTCTGGCTGAACGTGATGTGTTTTGACATTTGGTGGACGTTTAGGTAAGTGGCAAGACACCCTCGAGCTATATATTTCATCTCGCAATTTTATCGAGTTGTATATAAGCAGACGAATCACGGTGATTGTGATGCGTATGTGTGAATGTGTGACCTTTGCAGTATTTCTAGAATGTCTTGAAACTGGATACTAAAATGATAGAACGTTTTGTGTCAGAAATTTGAATACAAGTTACCCTGTGAGATAACATTCGAATAAGGTAAACGACCAACTTATCGATCTTTTAAGAACAGTAAGGACAGTTATTCTTTATTTATGGAAAGAATATCAGATGAAATTGATAACAAATAGTTCTATCGCGTAATTAATGTTTTCTGCATAAGATACGTCTGCTTTGTAAGTATATATATGTAAATAAATGTAGAAATTACTATGAAGTTATATATTTAAAAATATTAGTTCACTGCCGGTGTTTTCGATCGTCTGAAAATACTGATGTCGCACTTTCTGACCTCATCGCCGACTTAATTTCTGACCCTTCATACTGCCACAACGTAGTCTCACAAATAAATTTTCATTTTGTACAATTTCACGAATATTTCACGAATATGAACATAAGAAAATATTTCTTTAATATTATATTTCTATATAATATCAAATAAAATTGTACTTAAATATATACAACATTCGAATAAATATATAATAAATATAGGGACAGATTTTATTATTAATATTCGGTTTTTATTTTTTTAAGTTGTCGTTTGTGTTATCACGTTGTACTCTTTTTACTTTATTATTTATAATATTTTTCAAGTAAGGAAATATACATTTCCTTTTAAAATCTTTAAAAAAACTTTAGCTTTTCATGAAAGCAATTGTTTAATCTATTTTATTAAGAGTTTAGATTTAAGTAAATATATCATTAATAATGTCAAAGAGATGTTTACTATTTTGCTCTCAGTATATATATCATATTATCTATTTTGTACTTGTTATATATTTAATTATTTACGACCATGACAGTAATTACGCATTAACGAAAATAAAGCATTCGCAACAGGTCGAAATGGGTTAATCGATTCACCAAATATTTTCACAGGCGCCACTCGATCTGGCGCGCTTCTGTGGGAGAAAAATTTGATAATTGACAAACATCGGGGGGAAATTAATAATGACATGATGCGAATTAATATCCGATACATGATTGGCGCGCGTATGTGCCGCAAACATAGTCCGAGTTCATTTCGATCTCCTCACGCCGGCCGGTCGGAGCAGCAATTTTGGCAGAGGCAACATTCGCTGCCAACGGCAAAAATCAAAGACTATATCGCTAACAGGCATTGGCACGTAATAGGAAACGTGCTGATCGGATACCTCGTTCAAATTTGCGCCCGTGTATTCTTAATGCAACTTCAAAGCGACGAATTTCCGCACGAATGACACGCATACACACACACACACACACGCGCGCGCGCGCATTTGATCGAAGCAAGCTAAACGTTCGTTAGTCCGAATGTAAACGAAAGAGGCACGATGACACGGCCTGTTACGCCGCAATCCACTAACGTTGATGGTCCAATTCGAGGAAATGCCATCGCAAGAGTGTAATTCGCATTCGCCCACACTAAGCTGCGCTAAGCCGCTCGCTAATTTCTCGCTTCTCCGTCTAATTACGCGGCGCGCACGCGAGCGCGTGTCGGGATACTGCAAAGTTTTATCTCTCACCTGTCTTCGATGAAATTCCATGATATACCGACGACGTGTCGCTATTTACCGCACGGGGACGGGATGACTGTCGCCAAGCCCCGTTTCGCGTTGTTACAAGGGTGTGACGACTGTATGTGTACCACGCGCGCGGTGCGCTCTCTCATAATCAGTTACAGAATGCGAGTGGTTCGAGTGTATGAAGTTGGCACCCCACTTTTTGAAATTTATAATTTTGAAAGTTGTTCCAGATTGTTCTGACTTTGTACCACAATGTTCCAAAGTGATATTGCTTCATTCGAAACGGTTTTCGAATAAAACAAAAAAATGATTTTTTGAGCTGGCACCCCACTTTTCGAAAATCGAACATTCTGATACCGCAATAGATTGTTCTAGTTGTTCCAAATATTGTTCCAAAAGGACAAATCCGTAAGTTGAATTATAAGTCCAAAATATGAAAAAAGTGTTTTTGACCTGGCATCCCATTTTTTGAAAATAAAGCATTCCGATACCGATATAGATTGTTCTAGTTGTTCCAAACATTGTTCCAAAAGCACAAATGAATAAGTTTAATTATAAGCCCGAAAAATTAAAAAAAAGTTTTTTGACAAACACTCTATCGGACCAAGAGTAAACTTATACTATCTTTCTTGTTCCAACCGAGATCTTTTTGTTCTGAGTTGTCTAGGCTTAAGAATTATAGTTCTAGAGTATGAGACTCATAAGATCATTCGTTCTCCGTAAATTCGTAAAAAATCGATTTGACAGTACTCGACGTTAAGAGTAAACACAAGTTTTTTTAGCTTACGCAACAAGTCGTCATATTCAACCAACAAAAAGTTCTATATATTGATTTAAAAAAGTATAATTATTTGGATGATTGAAAATAAGGATGATTGAAATATATTTCTAAGGTGACAAAAATTCAAGAAAAAGAAGATTTCTTACAAAAATTAATCTTTATTATAGGAAAATTGGCGGAAATAATTACAAAATGTCATGACAAAATAAAGTGAAATTGCTTCGTCGTTTAAGCCTAGTATAACTCAGAACAAAAAGATCTCAGTTGGAACAAGAAAGGGAGCATGTGTTTTCTCTTGACGTCGGTTGCTGTCAAATCGATTTTTTTTCAAATTTTCGGAGAACGGATGACGCTACGAGTCTCATATTCTAAAACTATAATTCTTAAGCCTAGCACAACTCAGAACAAAAAGATCTCGGTT